GGGCCTGGTGGTTGTGGTGATCACAGTAGCAATCAAAACTTCCCAGGTGCTGCCCAAACAGCTGAACAGCCCCCATCCCTGTCCTGCAGAACTTGCTGTCTTACTGGGGCGATGGGGAGGGGAGAGGAGAAGTCCCAGGAACTCAGCCAGGTTAGCGTCACAAAGAGAAGGTTAAGGGGTGACTCGATGGGAGCCTGTAAGTACCTACACGGGGAACAAACAGCTGATAATGGGCTCTTCAATCTAGCAGACAAATGTCTAACATGAGCCAATGGCTGGAAGTTAAAGCTAGACAAACTCAGACTGGAAATAAGGCTTTTTTAACAGGGTCATTAACCAGTGGAACAACTGCCCAGGTGCTCTCCATCACTGGCAATTTCTAAATCCAGATCTGCTCTGGTTCAAACAGGCATTAATTCAGGGGCGCCCAATGGGCTGTTACATCATGGTCCCATCTGGCCTCGATCGTCCCGTCTGACCTGTGTAAGCTGTGAAAAGTCTGGTTTGGTTTTTATGAATGATCTAACCCCAGCTGAGTTGCCGTGCTGTGGCTTGGCCCTGTCTTACCGCCACTGGCCTGGTTATTGTGCGGTGTTAACCTTAGGCTTTGGCTGTACAAATGGTTAGTTTCGGCAAGCCAGGGTGTAAATCTGCCATGTGCTAGGTGGCCGGGTGGACCCTGCTCCACACCCCGAGTTCTGCAGCGCGCGTGGGATCTGCCCTGCTTGGAAACAGTAGGTGAAAGTGCTCTAGCAGCTGTTAGTCTGCGGTAGCAGAGTCTTAACGGACAGTGCGCAGCTGGCTAGGGCAGGGTAGCTTTACACCCCAGCTTGCCATGAGCTAAGTGTTTGCTTAGACAGGCCCTTACTCCTCTGGCCCTTGGCCATTATTAGTATTTGGATCCCTAGCATCAATTGATTCTAGTTAGACTTAACCCCTGCCTGTCCCAGGCTTGTTTAAACCCTAACCTGTTTTGACCCGTCGGTTGCATTGACTTCCCCTCCCCAACACACACACAGTCCCCTGCCCATCGCTACTTCTTACCCAGGTTGGTGACAATGAGCCCAGCTCTTTCTGCCTGCTGCCCCTCGTGGCCCAGTGCGAGGTGGCGTCTGTCCGTGCCCCCTCTCTAGTCTCTTGCAGATGATGAACAGCAAAGGACAGGCCAAGTCAAGGGCTATTGGATCCTATGTCAATTGTATGGGTCTGTCAAAGCTGCCTCCCTGCAGGGAAGAGCCCTGCTGCCATACAGAGTCCCAAAGGTTTCTCCTCCTCTCTCCAGAGTCCGGGGACGTGAAGGCCACTATTGCCGTGCTCAGCTTCATCCTCTCCAGTGCAGCCAAACACAGCGTAGACAGCGACTCTCTGTCCAGCGAGCTGCAACAGCTGGGGCTGCCCAAAGGTAGGGGAAGTGCCAGGGGATGGGTCCCTCGGAGAGGGCTGTAGCACACTGGGGAGCCTTGGGGTCAGTAGCAGCAGCCCGACTGTCGTGTGCGACGTCAGCCAGAGGAGGGCGCTGGGGAGCGGAGCAGAGTCTGTCTACCTCATGCACCAGGCTGTAACCCTGGATAACTGTATCCTTCCACTCTTGCTCCAGCACTGTGTGGAGTTCAGTACGTTGGCTCTCTGGGGGAGGAGGCGATCGCTGCTGGGTTGTGTGTCCCCCCGCACTCTCCCATCAGCGAGAAGTTAGAACTCGCTGTGTCAACTAGCAGGAAAGACTTCAGAGCAGTAGCTGAGCCATCTTCTGACTGAAATGCCCTACGGTACCATCGTCCCCCCGTTATCCCACGTGTGCCCCAGTGTCAGCATCCTGCTAGAGTCCCCCTGCTAAACAGGCCAGCTCAGCAGTTTGCAGCCAGGGTCCCTTCTGAGCCTGTTGGAACCAGAGTCGTGTTGTGCAGGAACCGGTCTGATGCTCTTTGGTGGGTGGTTTCTTGGTCTCCTTATTTTGTAGAACATGCCACAGGATTGTGCCGGTCCTATGAGGAGAAACAGAGCCCCCTGCAGGACAGCCTGAGGACACGCAGCCTGAGATGTAAGTGTTCCCCCTCTGGCTGTGCAAACCTGACACTGCTTCAGGCAGCGTATGGGAGATGGTCCTTCAGCAGGGGTACAGGCTGGCACCCACTACCCCCACCCCTTTAGCTGTTCCCCTGTGTCCATGGATGGAAGTTCAATAGGACTTTCCCAGCCATTCTCCTCTGGGACTTCCTGGGAAGAACTTGCTCCTGAGGGCTGTGGGATAGGATCAGAGTTTGCTGAGGGCAGATGGGTTTTCAGCAGCAACTGAGGGGATGACCAGGAGCTGGGACCAGAACCCTGTTGTCTGACCCCCTTGGGCTGTGACCTTGTCAGCCCGACAGGTTAGGATCTGGTAAGGTTAGTTCACCTCCGGGACAATCCAAATGCAGCAGGGAGTGGTGCAGGTGATGCACTAGGTGGTGCTCTGCCTTCTGTGATATCTTGGCCATAAAGAGAGACAGAGCTGAGGCGGTGCTAACCACTTGGACTCATGGGAATCTTCGCAACGAGGGGTGTTAGCTGCGTTATCCCAGCCACACCCCATCTCAGAGGGCTCCACTCCACTGACCTAAACTCCCTTGTTGTTTCAACTGGAGACATTTCCTTCCTGTAATGTCTTACATTGTCGCTGTGGGCCAGTAAAGACAGTTGCTGTGTTGCACACACCAGAGGTGGCTGCGTTTCAGGGGTGGGTGAAGCCGCTTAATGCTTTTGAAAAATGCTTCCTAAATCCATATCGCCAGCTTGTGCATAGAGAGAGTGTTTTACACTGACAGCGCAAACCTGAGACTGGCTCTGCCTCTGTCCTCAGTGAACCGTCTGGACTCTGTGTCCTGGAGGGTGGATCACACGCTCAGCTCCAGTGAGCTCCAGACGGTCAATGAGCCCCTTGTGCACCTGAAGTTCACCGTGCGAGACGGGGACCGAGGCGTGACGGAGCCCTTTGCTATGACTGTGTCGGCAGAGAAGTTCCGGGTCTTACTGACAGGTGAGTAGATGGCAGAAGGGCAACTTGGAATCGCTCGCCCTGCCAGCTGGTGCTTCCTCTCCTGTGTCCCCGCTGCTCTCCCTACTGGCTGGGGCAGAGATCAGCTGTCTCCATGTCGTATCATTTCTCTGTTCCTGCTCACAGCACAGAGGTTATTCTCTGCCCTGCTGTGACCAGTGAATTGGGAACTGGCTGCAGCGCCCCCTGCTGAGATCCAGGTCGCTCTGCCCCCATTGGCTGTTTGCGTCTCCTCTTCCACTTTCAGAGCTGAGACAGGCCCACGCCATGATGAAAACTCTCAGCTGAGGAGCCGGGAGGACGGCAGCGAGCGTGGAAGGAGCCAGCTGATTGCTCTGCAGCTCATCAGAGAGTCTGGTGGGTGCGGTTCCTCCGCTGGGGAAGCCCCTCGCTGCACACAGCCGCAGACACCGCCTGGGCAGAGGTTGGACTGGGCTCTCCTCCCTTCTCAGACCCCTGCAGCTGAAACTGACAATTGCTCTTCCCACTCTTCCTGGCTACTGCCTCCCCCTCCCCCGTCCAGCTCTCTTGCTGTGGAGCCTCCTACCTGCCCCTCCTCCATCCTGCCCACAAGCCCTTGTGCTTCCAGGAGCCCCACCGCAGGATCCGTCCCCAGAGCAATGGTGGATGGGAGCTTGGTGGCTTCTGCATCTGCTAACGAGATCTCCACCTTGAGACCAGCTTCAGTTCGGAGTTCCCATAACAAAGGCGTCCAAACCCATGGGCCGTGCCACTGTGTAACACACATGTCTCCGGAGAATACCCAGGCCTGCCGGCTGGAGGCTACTTTAACAGTGAAAGACCCTGAAATCCCCTGCCCAGCCCTTTGTTGGTGGTTGTGTTCCTGAACAGCTGCAGGGAGCTGATCTGCCCTTTTGCTTCTGCTTGAATTGTCTCCTGTGACTACTCCAGGGCAGGCACTTGGTCTTCTCTGGAGACTAGCACGCTGCAGCCCACCAAATGCTGCGGCTAGGCCAGCTCCACATCACCCATTGACTGAACTCCTGCAGCAATCCAGGATGCCTGTGGCTGGGACGACTCTGCCAGTCGTACATAAGAGGTTGGAAAGTTTCATCAGCCGACGCACCATGGAGCATTCTCTAGTCCCTTCTTGCTCCCCCGCATCCCTCCCCTTAAAAGCACTTTGCCTCTGTTTTTTCCACTTCCTTTAAAGGAGCCCCTTACCTAGGGGACAAATGCAGCTTTTCTGTCTTTCCTTCCCCCCATGCTCCTACCACCTTTTCCAGGGCAGCTCAGTGCATGGAATAAAGGATCAGCAGGAACATGCATCTGTGAATATCTCCATGCGTTTCCGGTTGGCCTTGGCACATGAAGCCAGTTATTTGTAATGTTTCCTATTTTGCCAGCGGGATCCAACAAAGCCACGAGGAGCATTTTTAATTTGCATTGCTGCCTCCCTTGGCACCCCTGCACCCTCATTTCTGACACCCTCAGACTGGGAGCAGAGATGTGTCTTTAAATAACTGGAGTAAATCTTTTGTATTTGAAAGGGGGGGATTGATGCCACAGACAAAATTCATCATACGGGCAGGTGCTCTATAACCTGTTCCCACCCCCTGCAGCTCTGTCAATGTTTCTCCATCCCACATACACCCTTTCTGCTCCTTCAGTCCTGACCTCTGCAGAAACCAGAGCCAGGGTAGGCAAAGTCCGTAAACTATTCACTCACCCCAGCCTTGTCTTGTACAACCCTGGCTAGTCCAGCCCTTGCCCCAGGCACAGCTCTGGTAACAGCCATCGAGGGACCAGTTGGGTTTTGCTAACTTCATTTAAGCTGTGCTCCGTTTACATTGTCCCCTGCCACTGGTGCCTATTGTGCTAACCCCCTTTCCCGGCTACAGCTCAGGGCTCTGGTTTACAGGAACTTCACAGCTTGGGGATGATGCAGTTGCTCCTTTAGCGCAAAGCCAGCACAGCCTGAAGGCGGTGAAGTGGGAAACCATTTTAACTGCAGACTCTGAAATAATTTGGTAAATTGCTGCTAAACAGCAAAAGCCCAGGGCAGCCCTGTATTTTTAAGAACAAGGCCGTGCTCCATTGAATTGAAAGACAATACAATTAAAATGGTACAAACAATAGTTTAATAATAATACCTAACTCTTCTATCACGCTTTCAGAAGTAAATCTCAACACACTTTAAAAAGATGGTCAGTGTCATTATTCCTAATTTATAGGTGGGGAAACTGAGGCAGTGGGCGGGAAGTGACTTTCCCCAGGTCAGCCAGCAGCTGAGCTGGGACTGGAAACCAGTTCTGAGTCCTAGTCGAGAGGTCTGTCACCTCAGCCACACTGCCTAGGTTACACAACAGGTAACTAACCAGTGGAACTGCCTGCTGTAAGATATTGTGGCAAATGGCTTGGTAAAATTTACCTTAGTGTTATACATGGATAAGAGTAGCTTGGGTGGTAGAAGATAAAGTAAATGTTACAACAGCTACCACACATCAGTGTACTTCATTCTGTTGGTCTCTGAAGCTACTGCTGGAGGCAAAATTAGATGGTGCTGGGGAGGGAAGAGAGAGGGATCATCTCTATGAGTGAAGCTCGGGCATGTTGTGACACTGTGCCTAGCAAGTAGGTTATGAATAACTGCTCCGCAGGCAGGCTCTGGTAAATCTAACTGCGGGGCAGGGAGGTGACCCATCCGCACGGGGAAGCCGGCAACGTTGCTGCTGAGGTGGTAGCTGCTTTAGGTGGGTGCAGGACAGTGGGATGCAGAGATGTCCGGGCAGCAGATGGTTGGGTGTGGGTACAGGATGGTGGGGTGTAGGGGTGTCCATGTGGTATCTGCTCTGGGTGGGCACAGGACAGTGGGGTGCAGGGGTATCCGTGTGGTAGCTGCTCTGGGTGGGTGCAGGATGGTGGGGTGCAGGGGTGTCTGTGTGGTAGCTGCTCTGGGTGGGCACAGGGTGTAGGGGTGTCTATGTAGTAGCTGCTCTGCGTGCAGGATGATGTGATGCAGGGGTGTCTGTGTGGTAGGTGCTCTGGGTGAGTGCAGGACGGTGGGGTGTAGGAGTGTCCGTGTAGTAGATGGTTGGGGGTGAGGGCCTATGCGGTGCTTTTCCCCAGCCAGCCATAGAATACAAGGCACAGGGAGGAGGAGGGGGAGAATTCCATTCCCTGCCCGTGTCCCTGAGCCCCTCCCAGGCA